CTTAGGTAACCTGGCATGTGGTCTGAATGCCATTTACAGTTTTTTTTACTGAAAAAAAACCGCAATTATCTCTAATATTTTACCAAAATATGTTAGAGTTATGAATTTCTTGATTTCTGATTGTTTGATCTGGGGTTATATCAATATGTGCGTAAATATGAGGCTTTGTTTTCTGGCTAACTCCTAGGATGTGTCTGCGTTTGAACCATTATTATTTTCTATCTATATAATCATTTTAGTTTTCCTAACTAAATTGTTCGCAGAAGAAGTTTATTGGCAGTGTTATTTTACCATTGAAGAAAATTAACTTCACCATGAGAAGACTTTTTGTTTCATTTATCTGTTCACTCTTGGGTTCCACATCTGTCAATAATTTTAGAGAAATTCCACCATTTTTGTTATGTCGAAACTAGTTCCGCTTACCATAAATTTTTAATATGCTGCAAGGTTATTATAACCATTGATTACAAAATAACCCGTGAATATAATCACATTCTTCAAATTGCAGGGAAAGCAAGAGCATTCATTATAGAGAGCGGTTCGCCTTTGTTACCGATAGCTATACAAGGAGACCCAAGATATCTTGCTTTCTCAATGGGAAAGGCTCTGGATCCAACTTTTAACTCGACGAATTCAAAAGATCTGCTGAATAAACTTCGACAAGTTTCTGCCTCAGATATCGTGATGGCTAATGTAAGCTAATTTCAGAAAAAACACATACCTGTAGTAAAAATAAATATGAACAATATTTATGGAATAATATTATAACATAGTAAGTTAAACTTCATGAATATCGAAAACAGCCTGCAACTGTATTTCGTTCTAGTTTCACTCTAGTTTATACATATACCAACTATTTTTATATTGCTGGAGTCGGTACGACCCGATTAAATTGAATTTAAAAATGATCTGTTGATCGTGAATTCGAGAACTCCACTTCTGTGTCTAATTTATTGGCATATCAAATTATTGGTGGAATTCTGTCAATATAAATCCCTTTGATTACACAGTGATATGAGTATTTCACTCAAATTATTTCTTGGTCATCTTCATCACAACCAAAAGTAAAAGTAACTTCAAACATGAATAATTTAACGACTGATTTACTGATCACGATTTCAACAGAGATACCCAATACCTTTCGTTATAGAATTACTTATTTGGAAAATACCCAAATCTGCATGCAATTGTTAATTAACCAATAATCATCAAAATATATTGCCCATTTACGAAACCATCTGTGATGCTTTATGGACGCACAGCGATTTGGAAAATCACGTTCAGGAGTTGTCAACGATGAACCTATTTGTACTGCAGTTTTGGGGCACGTTGGACTAATGGAAAATTCGCAATCTCTTACTAAGTTATCTCGAGAATCAGGAATCAGTCGTACATATGTTTTCAGGATCCTTCATAAATACAAATTTCATCCATATAAGATTGGACTAGTTCATGAATTGAACGACGATGATTTCGATAGACGTATCGAGTTTTGTGAAAGTCTCACTGAACGGATCAACTTGCATCAGAATTTCTTGTATAAAATTTGTTTTTCAGATGAATGTACGTTTAGTTTGAATGGAGAGATGAATCGGCAAAATTGTCAATATTGAAGTAATACGAATCCTCATTTATACCGTCAAGTTCATATCCAACGACCTCAAAAACTAAATGTTTGGAGAGGAATTTTAGGTGACCAAATCATAGGACCTTGTTTTATCGATGATAATTTGACTAGTGATAAATATTTGGATATGTTGGAAAAACGAATAATAACATGCGTCAATAGGACAATTGAGGAGGATATAAATTTATTCTGNTATTCACTTGTTTGGTGGAAACATCAACAGGATTACAATTGGAGGACAGAGTGCTGGTGGATTTTCTGCTGGATTTTTACAACTTAGCAAAAAACTTCGAGGTATTCGTTAGAAAAATAGTTTTCTTTGAAAGACTTATTTTGTGGTGGACTCAATATTTCTCACTGTTTTTGGATATATAACCTGCCACAATCTGTGCCAAATAGTGGAGTAACTTCAACAAAAGAAAACAGAAACGTAGGAATATGAGAGTGGTAACTCCTTGGGGTAGACATATGTACAAGTCATGCCCAGAAGTTTATGCAGAAAGCATAAAGCGGAAGAAAACCAATGCCACCTATGCTTTCAAAGACCGACCACGCTTTCAACAAATATAAGCTTCCTAGTAACTTCAATATTACATATTACATTCTACTCATCAATCTTTATCTGTGATATTTACTTATTTGTTCCTGTCATTTTTATATACTCATTGTATTCACCTATACCACGTGCTTTTATTTATATTAATATTAAGTGGCATTTGTTATGTTAATGGAATCATTTTTATGACTTAAGTTTCATCAATTATTTGAATTGAAAGCTTTAATAAGTTTATCTATATATAGTCGATTTGTACTCAATGAACTTATGGCGACTACTGCCTCTAGAGCAGAACTGTGGTTTACGACAAATATACTCAAAATGAACAATGATAAGACCCAGCACATCATATTCTCCTCTAATAAAAACGTTTGGAATGGATCCACTGCTAAACTTCTGGGGATAACTCTCGATGTTGAATTAAAGTGGAATAGCCACACAAACCATCTATGCAGTAAACTGTCTAGCCAACTATTTTTGCTGCGTAAACTGAAAAATATTTTGAACAACGATGTGCTATTGACTACATACCACTCCCTTTTCCATTCGCATATAGGATATGGTACCATTTTATGGGGAAATTCTAGTCAGACAACAAGAGTATTCAAGTTGCAAAAAAGGGCATTGAGAATAATTGGAGGTACGCGCTACGACCAATCTTGTAGGCCACNTCAGTTGGAAAATTTCTTGCTCCCTGAGAGCTATCTTGGCGTGTCTATACTGCCTCTACCGTGTTAGGAATCACATGTTAAAAGGTAAGATCTCGTTAATCCTTAGCTCGCAACAAGTTTCGACTACTGAGCGTTGTCGTTCGTAGGGGTGCGACAGCTGGTTAACGAAAAAACAGATTTGAAACAGATTTAAAGCAGATACCGTTGGAGTTACATGCAGATAATGAACCGTAAGATTGTTCATCTCATAGTTCTAAATAAAAGTCCGCGATAGCATACATATACATCTTATGTGGTAGCTACTTTATATAAAATACTGAGCCATTAATACAATTAAATTGGATACTTTTTTGCAATGCACATTTTAGAATATCTCTTAAATTCTTATGAAAATTGATAAAATTGTCGTTATAAATATTTGATAAACCTTGTCTTTCACACTTAGTAATTTGGACGAATCGTTTGAAAGTTATCACGATAAGTTTAACTGTACGCAACGCAGTGAGCCATTACGCGTTGTGTCTATTGTAAGACGACGGGGGACGATGCGCGGGGTAGACACATCGTTGACAGTTGTGCTATTTTTCCAAATGTCTCTATAGGTAACATAATTAGATTCTTGAAGCTACTCATTACTCAGTGCAGTTGTCATATTTTTTTAGTAACTATATTTAAAAATTAATAATATGAATTACCAGCAGTTTCCCGCGGCTTCATCTGCGTAGAATTTGGTTTGTCACATTAAGTTTAGTCGCAGACCATTTTAAACAAATAGTTACAATATTTTTTTATCAATTCAGAACTTCTGGTTTGCAACTTCAAAACTGACGGGATTCAATACAATTCTTGAACCTTTATTTTTCATCCTTGAACGTGGAAATTGCTGATTCCCTTTCATGTTGAATATTTACGCAATACAATGAACATACCTGCATATTTCAAGATTCAAAGTTCAGTAGCTTCGGCTGTACGTTAATATAAGAGTGTCAGTCAATCAATAGGTACCCACATATAGAATACTAGCTGCTCCCCGCTGTTTTACCCGCGTTACCGTGGGAACCTAACCCATGTGTTATTCCAGGTCCGGATCTATCTATATACCAACAGACATTTGAATCCGTTGAGCTGTTTAGGCGTGAAAAAATAAAAAACCTGAATACATACATTACATTCATTCATTCTCACAAATTTAACGCATTTATAATATCAGTAGGAATCATACGTTCAAAGATAAAACCTCGTTATTCCTTAGCTCGCACAGGTGTCGACTTCTGAGGGTTGTCGTTCGTAGGGATGCGACAGCTGGTTAACGGAAAAACAGATTTTCAAACAGTAGGAGTAGGATTAGTAGGATTACCAATATATTCTATTCTAATCCTTTCAAATTTTTTTGCTAATGCAAAAAATATTGTATAAGTACAGTTGAACCTATTGAACCTAAAATCTTGAAATATGCAGGTAGGTTCTTTGTACAGCGTAAATAAGCATCAAGAAAGGGAATCAGGAATTTCCACTTCCAAGGAGGAAAATAGGTTAACGAAGAATGTATCGAATTTCATCAGTTTTGAAGTTGGAAACCTGAAGTTTTGGGTTGATAAATTGTATCTATTCATTTAAAGTGATCTGTCACGAAATCTAATGTGAAAAATCAAATTCTACGCGGGCGAAGCCGCGGGCAACAACTAGTGTCAAATATAAAATTATTTGAAAACATAAGTCAACATTGAAACATTGTAAAATGAGATGATTACTTTGATAACTGAGCATTGTGATCAATAGTTATTGGAGTGTCACAAATTCAAGATATTTGTGAAATTTCCTTAGATTTTTGATTTTTTGGGGAATCACAAACTTCATGTTAGTTGCAACGATATTCATCTCAACTTTAAAATTTTGCAAACCATATATTTTACAAGATGAAATATAAAACATGATAATATGCATATTTAAAAACTTTCATTCAATATCAACATNGATGGATGTTTTGGCTTTCATCATGAAAAATAAATACCTTTTTTACAATGAGTTTTGATTTTCAACACAGAAGTTCGGTATATTTGATCAGATCTGCTAGATTAGGAAACGTTGAACTTTCCTTTTCATTTTGTTTTTTCCAACTACATTACTTTTCACATTCGTTATTTAGGAACCCATAGAAGCTGAAGATTGGAATGGAATATTAAACACCACTGTTAATAAAAAAGTCTGTATGCAGAACAATGCATTAGCTTACACTAAGATACCCGATTCCATGGAAATGTCTGAAGATTGTCTATTTATAAATGTTTATACTCCAGTGGTAAGTACTTCCGATATTACCAATTTATTTATCATTGTGAGATTAGCGAAAAAAAAATCGTGAGGATATATTTTGAAAATATATCATATGGTATATTCGATCGACAATATTCTTAGAATATTCACGGGAGAATAATCCGTTTATAGACATTTTATGCACATTATTTCGGGAATAATCCTGCCATATTCATTCAAGCATAATCTATGAATATTCTAAAGGCATGTATATATTCCAAGAATATTCTATGAATATTTGGAATATATACGTTCGTTTCATGACATAGAGGGAATATTCCCTGAATATCTGGTGCTGTGTGGGTATAAGTTCCGAATTCTGGAATGAATGATTCTTCAACAAATGGCACTTAATAATCTATTATTTTTGCGACCATTGAAATGTAGTATCAAAGATCCAACATTTGAAGTTGGTTGAGGACGAGTCTGCAACAGTTTATTGAGAAACAACGATAAACTATTCTGGAGGAGGTTCAAAATATTCTGCTGAATCTGCTCAGAACACAAAAGCAGACAGTTTCCATCCAAATACGACAGAAGTAGCAAGTCAACTGAGAAATATTTTATAAATGGAGTGTTATTGGAGTACATGTACTAGTGGAGAGTGAGAGTGAATATTCTGTAGATGATGGTACTAAAGAAAGAAGATTGACATTGATCCAGGAGTGTATGTGTATAATAAATATTTTGGAAAGTAAATACGAGATCCTTTGAATATTTTGGATATTTGAAGTAATTTTAACAAGAACAAGGTAAGCCACGAAAACCACTGGAAAAACAGGAAATAAAAAGTGGAATTGGTTTGATACGAGAGTCTCAGTAGACATGTAACGATAAATACCAAGGAAGGGTGGCGATTGCGAGATATATCCTAAATAAAAAAGTCTAAATAATCATGCATTCATTTCAAGAGTCCAGGTCAAAGATATTCGGGCAAGTTCCATGGTAGTTGAGTAATAAATATTTTGACATCAGAAATACATTGGCTCGATTGCGAGATATTTTCAGAGCAATGCTAAAAGGCCGTACAATGAGTTCAGTAGTTTTCGAGAAAAGGCAAAGTATATAAGTGTTAAAGAATATCGAGATGAGGTAGTACTATCAGCGGCTCAATAAAATGTTTCTAAAATGAGTTAAAAGGAGGTAATGAAATTATCATGAACAAAATAGCAATAAATTCAATGAGTAGGAAAATAAATTGAAATATCAACCCAGCTATACCAATGTGACCAAACAACTAGTCCTTCACGGGTAGAGTATGTTGGAAACATTCTGAAGTCCCTGATTTTTGAAATAGAATCATAGTGGGATAAGTAATTTCGATAATTTGAAGCAGTGAATCCATAAACTTTGCATCTGATGAAGTGAATGAATTTGTGATCCAACAGCAGACAGTGCTGTTTCAAACAATCAATTTATTATCACTGGTGGCAGTCCAAACCACACAACTGCCCTGAAAAGGACAAGCCTAAGAGTAAACGTGATGACATCTTCCCCTACGAAGATTCTATAGAATAGACNTGGCAATAAAAAATTGATGTCTGGTGGATCTATCTGAAGGCAAAAAATTAAAAATTACGCTTTGAAAAATTCTTTTAAAGTTAAGGATTTTTACCTGGGCAGGTAAGATGCGGATTAATAAACGCAACTAGTACCGCCAGCCAGGTAGCCTAACCGAAAGAGCAATTCTTCCTTTGTGTGCCGTTTTATCTCGTAAGTGGGAATAATTATGAAGTTGCAAGCCGTTGAAGGTGTTTCCAGTGTTTTAATTGTTTCCTTCATTTTGAATTTCAAGTAGATTTTAATCAATATATTTGATGATTAGCCCTATTTCATACCTAATCATTACAACAATATTTATTAATTATATTTATATTTAGTTTAACATTCCGCATGGAATGTACCTGTGAAACGCAAAAACGACAAACGAAATTTGATTTTAGTGTAATAAATAAACTGGTACCCAATATCAGCAAGAGACTACATAAAAATATACATTGATGGATATTGATGTTGACAGGACGGTAGCTAGTTGTGTTGGTGTGAGTAGTCCAACCTATGCTAGGAACCACATGTTAAATGGTGCGACCTCGTTAATCCTTGACTTGCACAAGTTTCGACATTTGAGGTTTGTCGTTCATAGAAAACGATAGCTGTTTGACGAAAAAACAAATTTCAATCTGAAACAGATTTCAACAGAGTATAGTTTATCATTGCACCGTAGATTTACTTTTGTTCATCGTTTACACATCTCAGGAGCTGTACCGGAAAATATATTGACGAACATAAAAAAATCTTCTGTGATTCATGAATGTACCAAAGGAATATAATATCACCATCACCACCGTAAAATGCGACATTCATTTTCATAATTGAGGTTAATCTACTTTTGATACGATATATAACTCATCATCATGTTAGTCCACCCGGTCAAGGAGTGTTTGAAACCAGTTTCAGACTGCTGCAATTTGGACATCAAAAATCTACAACAATTTTTTGGTTTTTTGAAATTTCATTGCACATACTCTGTGCTACCATGCTATAATTATATTTTCCAGAGACCCAACAATAGACGAAAGGTTGTTTTACCTGTACTATTCTGGATACACGCAGGGGGGTATTTTTATGGTTCTGGAGCATATCAGTATTGGAATCCTAAATTTTTCATTGATGCCGGCATAGTTGTTGTCACAATGAATTATCGTTTTGGTCCCTTTGGTAATGTATTTTTTTATCACGCTTTTATTAGCTTCACCTGTATGTATGTATGTTCGTTTGTAAATCCAGAATTATCGACATTATTGCTTGATCTATTCGCGGGCAGATGGCGCTGTACGTAACCTCCTTGATATAAGTCGAACTCAATTTACATGTATTTCTTCATTTGAAAAAAGTATATTCTTATTATTATTTTATTTATCACGCTTTTATTGGCTGTATGTATGTTTGTTTGTTTGTTTGTAACTCTCCTTTTCATTTCATATTTATTCGCGTTTGAATGCCCGGGATCTATATTTGACAGAATTATCGACATTATTGTTTGATTTATTCGCGGGCAGATGGCGTTGTACGTATATTATTTTATTAACACGCGTGCCTGCTGCCTTATTTGTAACCCTCCTTTGCGCGCCTGCTGCCTTGGGCTAGGTGGCTGATTTTCAGGTTCCCTCTCTGGAATCGGAAACTATCAATAGTCATTTTTCTAAACAATATACGGCTGATTGATCCCAAAGTTCAGATAAAAGAATAAAAAATACGATTTTATAGCATACGAAACTAAAAATTAAAAAATAAATATAGTTTAAAAAAACTAAAAAACACGCTTTTGAAAAACATCGAACTGAAAAGTTAAAAATATATTTTTTTAATAAGCTCAGAACAATAACGAACAAAAAATACTAGGAAATTTTGTGAAAAATGCGTGGGCGCTTTGTGCCACATTTTTTGTATATCAAGCGCCCGTCGCTTGTTTCACAATGATACTAGTATTTTTCGTTCGTTATTGTTTTGAGCTTATTGAAAAAAAATCAACTTTTCAGTTCGATGTTGTTTAAAAGATTATTTCTTAGTTTTTTTAAACTATATTTATTATCATGTTTTCAAGAAACCCTAAGTAACTATCAATGAATGAAGCATAAAAATATAGTTTATTAACGATGTAGAAAACTTAAGACCGGATTCATCAAATAAAATGAAAACGGTTTCCTGGTCATATAAATATTAATTTTATTATAAATCGAACTTTGAATATCTCCAGAAGTTAGTGTATGTTATAATCGTATTAGACAGCTATTGAAAATTATTAAATTTTGTTCTAGAATGGTTCGAAAAATCCTCTAAAACAAAAATTCTGTAAACGGAATTATGATTGTACATAGTGCGTCCATGAAGTAACTTATAACAACATCACTGAAAATTCATGATTTTTTATGTTTTTCTATTTTTATAGTGATAGTTAATCATATAAGGGAACCTTTCCTTAAGTAATTATTTCACCACTGTTTTTTCGTTTCAATTTATGAACTCATTCTGCAGAGCTGTTTCCAAAATTTTAATAAATCAAAATTAGTCTAAAGACAGTATCGAGAAGAGATACATACGTATTAGAAAATAAATATTTCAAATTGGAATTTCCAAACATTTATAACTTCCAACGAACTCCATACAGTAGGTTGGGATGAATGCCTCTCGAAAAATAACTACCTTTCCGGCTAATACCACTCTGGATATATATCCGGCAGATATTTATGCAAGATACCTCAAAAATGATAGCATTTCAGATGCTTCTCTTTCATCCACTAGTGTAGTAATACATCACGTACAGACCGATTTCCATGTATTACCTCTCATCGGTGCAGGAAAGATCCGACCCAAACAGCAATGTGCCTCGGACTCGACTGCTTTCAGCGCAGTTTGACAGTATGTATGTAATCTACGTGTTAGATAAAAGATTTATCAATAATTAACATCCCCGTCTAATGAACAAAGCCCCAAAACTGAGAAAATATCCCATGTACCAATACTCTAACAGAAATCGAAACTGCATAGAGGTGAGAAAGGTACGTTCAATAAAATGAATATTTCGAAATGAACTCTCGAAACATCAATCTCTTCCAACGTATCTACAAATCAGTTTGTTGATAAATGTCTGCCGGGTAAAACTACGCTGCATTTTGAATAATATACGAAAGACATTGATCCACTTGCATTATAACTGTGGTTTCAATTTTATTTCTCATAGATATATTTTTCATTTTGAATATTCAATCCCGATTGTTCTCAGAGTGTTGCATTAAATTGGTGTCATCAGGAGATGAACCAGTATAGTTAATTTTTCATTAAAGGCTACGGGATGAAAATTGCGTTGACAACAGTGTTGCAGTTCTGGTATATGAAACAAATGCTAACGTTGGATTATCTCATCAACTACTCTAGTTTCATCCTTAACGAGAAATCGATGTCCGAAAAATGTTTTGATATTTTGTCTATATCCAATAATAGCATGAATTGTATTTGAATTGATTTTCATAAACGGAATAAACGAAAATTAATACTTTATTCAAGAGTTATGATACTATGCATCATTTTCCTTGCAGTGAGCAAATCTATGGACACATTACTCTGAGAATAGTTGTGCAGTCATACTGCATCTCAATTCTTTTTTTCGGTTTCTTTGGAAGTTCTTTCATTGTATAAAGATACAGAAAATTGAAATGACTCATTCAGTCCTTAATTTCACTTACCGAAAATCGCATTACTTTGAGATTACCCTTTCAAACATGCTCTTTACCTGAGACACTGATTATATATTGATTTCTTCGAAAATGTAGAAAATATCATGATTCGTATGATGAATGAAAGTCATATATTTTGAATTTCGTATGCGAATATAGTAGGCGAGAAGCGTACGTAGTTTTAAGCGAAAAATTGAAATGAATCAAAATACTTTTCGACATTGATAATTTTCTCGAAACAGTTTTCATGTATATGCCTGTTTTCAGGATTTCTCACAACGGCTGATAATGTAATACCTGCTAACTTGGGACTGAAAGATATAGTTCTGGCATATGAATGGGTCCTTCGAAATATTCACTTGTTTGGTGGAAACATCAACAGGATTACAATTGGAGGACAGAGTGCTGGTGGATTTTCTGCTGGATTTTTACAACTTAGCAAAAAACTTCGAGGTATTCGTTAGAAAAATAGTTTTCTTTGAAAGACTTATTTTGTGGTTCTGAAAATATAACCCTCTCTATTTAAAAAAAAAAAATATGTTTGTGGAACTATTAAGTTAATTAATCCTCTTCATCCTCGTGTACACTATCATATCAGTCGCCGTGAATACAGAGTCATTCGTATTTCGTTCAAAAAACAAACTTACTCTATTTCACAAACTGTCAAGCTGTCGACTCTGAATAGAGACTTCGTTTTTTACGATGAGAAAAATTTCAAATTTCAAATTACTCAACTGTAAGTTGAGGTGGTTCTGGTTATCCCTGACAAAAATGGATGCAAGTTTTTTGTTCAGTGTATAAATTAAAAATTTCAAATTTAAAACACAGTTAAAAGATTCTACACCTGATTTGAAAATCATACAAAAGTTTTATATTCAGAAAAATATATGTCCAAAAGACTTTTCACGAAATGGTCTTTATTAACAAAAATCCTAATAATATGAACAAAAAAAAACAGACATTGAAAATCTCAGTATTATTCTCAATTTGAAATAATCACATGTTGTATAAGATTCATTCAATGAGCATTTATGAAATACTAATAATACCAATGCGTCAATTTTTTGAATGTTTTCATCAATATTCAATTTTGAATTGTGAAACTCAGATTATTTGTAAGTATTGTCCATTTTTTTTTAGTTCTTTTCTATTGTATTTCATTTTAGCGTCCTGACGAAGTCTCTATTAAGAGACGAAACTTTGGCGCACGACGCACGAGTAAAACTGTACTGCACTCCAAATTTGATATGATTCAATATGAGCCAAATACAGTTACTAAAATTTTTACTTATGTACAATTTTGAAACATTCAACGACAAAATAAAAATAATTTTAAAAACCTGACTCAAAAGGGATAAAAAACCATCATGTCTAGGTTGGCTTATCATATCCCCTGTCGAAGTCACTGACACTGCGGCTATTCATTTATTGAGACCTTCAAAATGAGCTCAAACACGTCAAGTTTGCTGTTAGTGACCGATGAGGTGGTCCTTTGTAGACTGTTCTGATTGCATCATTAAGCCAAAATAAAAATATCATTGTACATACCCTTGAAAATATCGAATTTTCATTTTGATCAGCCAAGTGGATGTATCATTGTTAACCATAATTACTTGCACTAGCTCGGACATGTTTTTCGGTCTGGCAAATTGTTGGTGATGGAATTTCGTTCTGGCATTGTATTTTATTGATTGCTCATTTATTTTATTCATTCTGTTGAAACTTGGAGACTGATAAAACGACAAAAATGATTTTTTTTAAATATTTATAGCGTTCTGTCAACAATTAGGAGACATGTAAATGCCCTGGCAAAAAATCCATTGAGAAAAATAACTGTCGAAAGTAATTTCCGGAAATTTTATGACTGATACTTCAATTAAAATAAATCTTATTTCTTATCCTCCTCAAAACTTTATGGCAGTCCACCCCGGTCACAAAGGGCTGCCAGAAGTGACTTGTAATTTTCAGTGGGTATACGGGGTGTTTCAAATTCGAATCTCACCATTGGGATCTCGAAAACTATGAGAGATACGAAGATGGTTGAATTGGGGCGAAGGAGCGCATTTACCTGACTAACAATATGCCGTTGAGAAAGTTCTATGTGGTATATTCGATCGACAATATTCTTAGAATATTCACGGGAGAATAATCCGTTTATAGACATTTTATGCACATTCTTTCGGGAATAATCCTGTCATATTCATTCAAGCATAATCTATGAATATTCTAAAGGCATGTATATATTCCAAGAATATTCTATGAATATTTGGAATAAATACGTTCGTTTCATGACAGGGAATATTCCCTGAATATCTGGTGCTGTGTGGGTATGAGTTCCGAATTCTGGAATGAATGATTCTTCAACAAATGGCACTTAATAATCTATTATTTTTGCGACCATTGAAATGTTGTGTCAAAGATCCAACATTTGAAGTTGTTTGAGGACAGTTTCCATCCAAATACGACAGACGTAGCAAGTCAACTGAGAAATATTTTCTGAATGGAGTGTTACTGGAGTACATGTACTAGTGGAGAGTGAGAGTGAAGCTTCTGTGGATGATGGTACTAAAGAAAGAAGATTGACATTGATCCAGGAGTGTATGTGTATAATAAATATTTTGGAAAGTAAATACGAGATCCTTTGAATATTTTGGATATTTGAAGTCATTTTAACAAGAACAAGGTAAGCCACGAAAACCACTGGAAAAACAGGAAATAAAAAGTGGAATTGGTTTGATACGAGAGGCTCAGTAGACATGTAATGATAAATACCAAGAAAGGGTGGCGATTGCGAGATATATTATCCCAAATAAAAAAGTCCAAATAATCATGCATTTATTTCAAGAGTCCAGGTCAAAGACATCCGGGAGAAGTTCCATGGTAGTTGAGTAATAAATATTTTGGCATCAAAAATACACTGGCTCGATTGCGAGATACTTTCAGAGCAATGCTAAAAGGCCGTACAATGAGTTCAGTAGTTTTCGAGAAAAGGCAAAGTAAATAAGTGTTAAAGAAGATCGAGATGAGGTGGT